CCCCCGGGGGCAGTTCTGCCCTGTCCTATAGGGTTACTAGGAGTCAGAATGGACTCGGGGGGAAGTGTGATTTTAACCCCCTGTGAGCGAACAGAATGAGGAAGGAGGAAGCAGCGCTGTCCTACGCAAGGAGGCACTGAGTTTGCGTCCCTGCAGGCAAATGGCAGCCTGGTCCGAGACCTGCAAGTGGGCAGGGGAAGGCCGCACTTAGCTGGCTGTCGATTAAGGGCCTCCTGTCCTGGGCTTGCTGCCTGTGTGCTGTTTCCTCCATAGCCTGCTCTCTGCACATAAGCTTGTCCTTCCTGGAGGTCCCCCACCCCCAGGAGGACACCCAACTGTCTATGGTGGACATTGGCTACCGGACTGTTTGAAGAGCATACATTCTTGAGACAAAGTGTAAAGGCACAAGCCAATCAGGCAATGGCTGGAGGTCTGTCAGAAATCACACACGAAGCCTCTTTGGGTGAAGATGCAGATGGGGGAGATGAAGCAGTTGCTAAGTAACATGAACCTCCTCAGCCGCTGGAGAAAGGCCCTGGTGTTGCAGCGGTGAAAGCGCTCGGCTGCGAACAGAATGGTCGGTGACGCGAACCCACCAGCCGAACTGCAGAAGGATGGGGCAACTTGCGCTGGAAGTCCCGTGGGGCAGGTCGCTCTCGAGGATCCTGCTGAGTTGGAATGGCTGCATGGCAGTGGGTTTCATGGGTTGGTTTGGTTTCCCATCACTGGTCAGAGGGCTCTGGTTCTTTGTGGTTACTTTGAGGAGAACCTTAAATGAGCTGTATTGTCCAAGAGCCAGTCGTCCCCTGGTTCTCCAAGAGGCTGTTCCTTTAAGTTGCACCACAAAGCAAGCAAGGATCTCAACTTTGGCTTCTTTAAAGTTCTCATCTCTTGAGTCACGTGACGGAGCGAGCCCTGGAGGTGTAGTCACACATTCGGCTGCAAACTTCAAGGTCAGCAGTTCAAAACCACCAGCGGTTCCACGGGAGAATGATGGGGCTTTCTACTCCCGCAATGAGTTACAGTCTCAGAAACTCAGAGGCCGTTCTGCCCTGTCCTCTCTGTCCTGTGGGGTCTCTATGAGGGGCCATCAACTTGAGGGCAGGGGGTGAATGGTTTTGGTTAGTCAGACTGTTGTTGTTGTTGGGTGTCGTTGAGTAGATTCGGACTCATATTAACCCCTTTGTACAACAGAATGAGACACGGTCCAGTCCTGCACTATATTCACCATTGTTCTTATGTTTGCGCCCATTGGGGCCACCACTGTGTCCATTCATCCTGGGGGGGCGGGGGGGCTTCCTCTTTTTCACCGCCCTGCTACTTTACCGAGCAAGATGTCCTTCTCCAGGGATTGGTCTCTCCTGACCACATGTCCAAAGTACGTGAGCCACACATAGGAACAATGATCCCTAAATGGCAGCAAGGAGGGGAGACTTCATCTCATCTACTTGGAGATCTCAACCGGAGAGAGCTGACCCTGGGGAAGAACACCAGGCTTGGGAAAGTTAGAGGGTTGATGAGGAACATGAAGACCCTCGATGAGATGGGCCGACAGAGCGGCAGCGATGCTGGTGCAGCACGAGCTGCAATGGTGAGGATGGCGCAGGACTGGGCAAGGTTTCTTCTGTTGCAAACAGGGTGGCTGTGAGCTGGAACCAGCGTGCTGGTACCTCGCAGCAAGGACTTTATGATAGCATCTGTCACAGGATAGCTGCTGTGACAGTAGGATGCTGGTTAGCTTATCAAAATTGTTTCCTGCAGCCTTGTGAATGATAAAGTCAAGACTTGCTCATATTTTAAGGGAAACTTTGTGGTGGCTACAAACACGTTTGTCAACATGTAAATGTCAACATCCTTCTACCAATGCATCTGATCTTAACGAATGACTCTTGTGTCTTGCCTATCTTTGCTTGAATGGACATATTTAGAGGTGGCCCATCAACTACTGCACGTAATGCCCGAACAGAGATAACCAACATCAATGTACTGATTCAGCCATTTGTCGCATACCAGCTACGTACGCCACACGGCGCTGGGTGTCAGCTGTCCCAGGGGTTGCACAGGCCGGGGACCTGGAAGTATGAGAGTATGCAACTCAAGAGGCTGTTGTTGTTGTTGTAAATTGGGGTTCCAACTCCCCGCAACCCTAGAGCACGGAGTAGGACTGCCCTGCAGAGTTTCCAACGCTGTAAATCTCTTTGTTTTTAATAGTTTTACTGGCATGTACTTCACATATCATACAATTCAATAGTTCAGTCACATTAAGAGGAGTCATGCCATCAGAAGGCTGTAAATCCCTACCGAAGCCGACTCCCATGGAGCACCCTGAGGATTTCCAAGCATCAGACTTTAAGGAAGCAGCCAGATGCTTAAGGCATGGCACCACCAGGGATCCTGAAAGTAGACAGAGCGATGATGTATACATGTCGCTGCTTCGTGTTCTTTCAGCTGGTTTAGATTCATGTGCCACCAAGTGCAATGTTGCCCAGTCTTGGGCCCGCGTGGCGTAGTGGTTAGGAGACAGGCTGCTAACAAAAATGTCGGCAGTTCAAAACCACCAGCCTGCTGCCCAGGAGAAAAAGGGGGCTTTCTACTCCCGTAAAGAGTGACCACCTCAGACACCCAGAGGGGCAGTTCTACCCTGCCCTAGAGGGTCGCTAGGAATCAACTTGATGGCAGTGAGTTTGGGGTTTCGTTTTGCTGTTGTTTGTCTGTCTGACGTCATCGTCACCACTGCAGCTGTGTTTGAGCCGATTGCTGCAACCACGGTGTCCATCCATCTCATGCAGGGCATTGGCCTCCGATCCTCTATTTCACCGCGCGGGAGGTCCTTCTCCAGGGACTGGCCTCTCCTGATGACATGTCCACAGTCTCATCTCCTAGATGAAGCCTCCTCCTCTTCGCGAAGCAATTGTGCATCCTGCATACGTGTATGGTGGATCTCCCACAGCGTGGGCTAATGCCAGGCCCAGGGGAAGCTCTTCACCAGTATTGTCATGTCTCATTCTCCCTGCACCCTCTTGGGCCCCATTTTCCATATAGAGACACTGAGGCAGAGGCCAGGAAACATGAGCAAGATCACATGGCCCTAAGCTTCTCAGTCAGAATTTAAACTATATCATTTCGACCCCAGTGACAGTGTTCAACAGCCCGCCCCCCCCAAAAAAAAACCTCTGACTTGCAGAGACCCCAAAAGACAGAGTAGAACTGCCCCTTCGGGCTTCCAGAGCAGTAATCTTTGCTGAAAGCACACTGCCTTCCTCCGAGTAGCCGGTGGGTTCTAATCACGGATCTTCTGGACCGCAGCTGAGCGCTTAATCACTGTGCCACCTGGCTCCTTCCCGGGGTCTTCCCAGTCCAAACCCACTGCCATCGATGGAGTCCACGCTGAGTCATTGTGACCCCTTAGGACACTGTCGAACTGCT